CTATTTCTTAATGTGGTGTTACAGTAATAATTTCTTTAATATCAACACCTATGAGATCAAGAAGCAAACTGTGGCTATCGTAACAATTTTATTTTCTATATTTCCAAACTGTAAACATCTTATGACATTAGGTCAAAACACTGTAGTTCTTAGTCTTTTACTACCAATCCAAAATAAAATTACTTTTTCTGTTATAACTACATGGATGTAGAAAAATATTATTTGACCAGACTCTGTTTCAAAGTACTCACTTTCTTAGACCATAAAAACTAAAGTGTACCTAATGTTTGAATATCTTTATTGGCTGTGACCGCTCAAAGTTGCTGTTCTTTGCCCTGACTCCTTGTTCTGTTTTACCCCAGGAATTCTGTTCCCATTTTTTCTTCTCTTTCTTCTAAGCTATAGAGAATTCTAAGTCTTTGGGACAAAAATTTCACTTTCTTTCACTTGACTGGCTCACTTTTGTGGTTGGCTGCCTTCTCGTTTCTTCTTACTGTCTTTTCATTTGAGAGATTTAAAACTGGATATAAAATTTCAACAAAGGCTTTTCAGGCCTCAACTTTAGCGAAATCATTATACATGAAGGGAGGCTGAACTTAGACTGAAGCATTTTTGTAGTGGAACCCAAATTTGTGCTTTTATGGTCTGTAGACTTTTGTTGATGTCATGTTTGCTGAATAGGAATTATACTGGCATGTTCAGGGAAAGAAGGCCTGTTTACCACAGCATGCCTGCTCTTCTTTACCAAGATCTCCACGGCAGTTGTTAGGCCTCAGCTCAGCCAGTGTTCTAGCAGGTCACTAAGGTGCTTGTCAACAATGAGCAGGGTTTCTAGATCACCCCACATCAGAGGGATACATGCCTCATCTTCCCATGCCAGCCTCTAAGAAGGGGGGAGATATGTAACAGAGATAAAGCATGAATCAATATCTTTTCCCATCTTTTTGTTTTTCAGTTTCTAAATCCCGCTCCCCCTTTCCATGTGAGCTTTCTGTATTTTTTGGTGGCTTGCAGTCACTGACAGTTGTTTGGTGTTAGGGAGCTGAACGAGAATTGAGAATTCGTGTCCTCAGCAGTTCCTGAGCTTTGTGACTGGGTCAGGCAACGTGTGGAAGGGACTGGAGACAAGAGGAAGAAGGGGCCTCTTTCTTAAGAGCTCAACTTTCCCACCCCAGCTTACATCAGCCATACCATGAAGCATGGTATGTACAATGAAAGCTGAATCATGGAGGAGAAAGTGATTTTATTCTAGGTCAAGAACAGGGAAGATTAGCAATATATCATCTTTGTAAGAAGTTTAACAAATATAAAATGTAGGGAAATTGATACCTATATTTTTCCCTTCATTACTTTTGCCATATTAATATATTTTGGTCATTTCTTACCTTCTGCCAAAGAAGTGCATTATGAAGTTCCATTGAAAGGGAAGAGGAGGGCTAAGTATGTATAGAAGCAGCAAACTCAGTACAAAGCTATGTTCCTTTGCTGCACAGGTTATGGAAGCGGATATGGAAGCAGAAACCAATATGTCGACATTAGGATTTATTTTATTCCTTTCCCTAGTGATTATATTGATAGTAGACTGTCTTTGTCTGAGTACTTCAGCAATATAGCTGTAGGCGCCATAAAAATGCATAGATGGATGGCTACAAGTTCAATTAAGAGGTCTTAACCCAGCCTTCGATATGCAAACCCTGTCTATTTTAGTTTTAAATTTCTGCTCATAAATTTTTTAAAAACTAAAAGAAACATTGCTTTTCAAGGTTAGATTGAAGTTTAAGGTTCCTTAAACATAAAGCAGGTCCCCAGATGGGGAAAAAAATTGATAACCCTAATGTACTTCCTCACAATAGCATTCCCAACTCCATCATTTAGACACACTTTAAGTAATATTCTCTTCATTGTAAAATGTAAATCTTCTTACTTTCAACCAGGGAATCAGAGAAATTCACCACTCTGATGGGGTCGGAGGCTCCGATACAAAAGGGGCATCCCTTTCATGCTGTTGAGTTTCTTTTCCGGGCTTCTAATTATTTCAAGAAGTCAGCAACCAACCAACCACATGACAGTCTTCCAAATCAGTAAGACACGAAGTTACCTTGGCTTTTCCTAGGTCTCTACAAAGTATATAAAAGAGAAAGGTAAATTAATTGTTAACCTTTTTGATAGTGTTTTAATGCAGGTGCTTAAGACAGAGAACTTTTATTTGTATCAATAATGCATGGCTAGAAATTAATTTGTAATTCTGGTCATCTGGTTGGCTCCATACTTAACAGCATCTGTGACTTTCCCATTAGAGAAAGGGTTGTGTGTGTGTGTGTGTGTGTGTGTGTGTGTGTGTGTGTGTGTGTGTGTGTCTTCATCATAGAATAGGCTGGGACAGGATAGTTTTACCCTTCTTAGTTCAGAGAGGGTAGAAAATCATCATCGACATTTCCAGAGCACTCAGGATTTGTGTAGGGCTTCGGCTCTACCTCGTGCCTTCTTGTAATGGAATATTGTAGCACGAAGGTCTGGCGTGATAACGTTCTCCAGGTTTGAATAAAACTGAGAATTCACACTTGTTTTCCAGATTGGCTAGATGCCTCCTCCAGTGTGTGTGTCTGAGCGGTCACAGCAGTGCCGAGACCCTAGTAGACCAACTCAGAGCATTTCCTTGCCATTCAGTTTTTTGCTGCTGGTTTGCTTGTTTTTCTGTGACTCGGAATTTTAAACCAGCTTTGAACATACCCCATATTCAGCCTTTATTGCTGTTCATGTTTTCTAGTTATATTTCTCTAAAAGTAGGGTGACAAATTAGATGTTTTAAACAAAAAGTGAACAGAACAAAGACATCTGTTTTTTGGATTTAAAAAGCATTTGGGGATATCTCTTTATTCCTTTTGTTTTAATATTAATGAAGAAATTTTAAAAAGTCATTGTCTATTGTTTATGTAAATAAACTGATAAATATATTTTCCATTGTTTATGGAGAAATGACTGACTAGTCGTAAAGATATCACATCTACAAGTACAATTTTAGCTATCAAGTAGAGAATTATATTTGCTAGTATAACTCCAAAGAAAATGTAAAGTTAGGAAAAATTTTATGTAATTATTTTGGGGTGTGATCAAAAAGACATCTCCTAAAATAAAATTAGGTAATTTACCTTAATTTTTTTAAAATTTACCTTAATTTGATGAAAGGTATTAATGGTTTAAGTTTTTTTCTAGAACAAAAATAATGATGGTATAACTCTCTTAAAACATAACAAACCTTTCTGAAATGTTTAGCTTGTAATTTTTAATGGCAAAATTATAGGATCTTTCCATAGGAAAAAAGTAATTATGCTATATTTTAAATTATCTACTCTAAATATAGTATTAATTTATGTAGTTATATTTAAATTTCTTGCTTTTAGTACAGGCTTTGTATTTAATTTTGCAGCTTATTCCGAAGGGTTCTTCCATAGATTTTTGATCCATCATGATGTTGTATTTGTGTTTTTACGATGGCAAGTGTTATAGGATGCCTAGAAAGCTATTGTCTTGCTTGATTTAAACTAAAACATCACCTTGTTATGCCTTCTGTTGTTTGAATTTTCAACTCAACAGAATTTTTTGTCCTATTTATCAGATTAAGATGATCTGAAAATTCTGAAATGAACCATACACATATAGTACTTTCTTATGAATGAGATGTCTATTTTGCTAGAAGCAGGGAATCCTTTAGAGCAGCACATCAGCATCTCTGGGTGTGAGGTCACAGGCAGGCCTCCTTCTCTGTGAGCTGGCCAGGAAAGAGAATGGCGATGCTACAAATCCACACAACAGAAGGACCGTGTCCAGTTTAGTCATAGTGAACGCCACAACTTTTGATGGCCTATGGAGCTTTTTGTTGAAGTGTGGTCAAATTTAAGATAGCTGATTCTAGACCTGGGAAGTTAAGGTAAAGTTAAGAGTCCTCCCTTCCCAGAGACAGAGAGGTTTTTAATTTTTACTTTTTAGATAATTATTTGTGTTTGTTTTCCTAAGTCTAGAAAATGCTTTATTTCCTTTGCTATATCTTGCCTGATTTTCTTTCCTTTTCCTTAAATACATGATAAATGTGCTCACTTCCAATTCTGTGAAATTCCTTTGATCAAAAGTCATTTTATTTAATTCTAAAATTAACTGTTATTTTAAAATATCTAACTTAGAAATCAATTTTATTGAACTAATTTCTTAAGTTCAAAAAGTGTGATTAGAAATCAATTTTATTGAAATAATTTTTTATGTTCAAAAAGTCTGATTAGAAATCCATGTTACTGAAATAATGTTTTAAGTTCAAAAGTCAGATTATGGTTTTAAAAGAAGAAATAAGATTCTATAAAGGTTTGCAGGAATCTGTTTTTACTAATAAAACCTTTAGGATCTCCAGCACAACAGGAGAACGTTCATCCAGTGGAGGAACTTGTACTTTCAGAAAGTCTACTCTTAGTTACCAGTCATCTCCAGGGCGTGCGCTGAAATATTAGAACTTTGGTAATGAGCGGTGTTCATCTGCCGTCTGTTGCTGCAGTGCTCAGCTAAATACCAACACAGCTTATAGTTGTTGTTTGGACTGCTTTTCTATACTGGCTTCAAAATATGTTGTGACACTTTATTATGTTCAGAATCAAACATTACACACATCTCAAGTTGTGTGGAGGATGAAGCCTTTATCAAACTCCATTGTACACAGAGTGGGGCAGGACGGTTAGGAACAAGTCTTTCTATAAGAGAACGGTTCTCAAGAGCTTTGACTTCTGATCTAACAGGGAGCACACTACTGGAGGAGTAAACAAAACTGAGTGTCTGTGCTAAAGGCTCATGTACCTCCCCCAATTCTTTTCTTCTTCTGCCTTTCCATTCTTCATTATGTCATTTCTCTGATGTTCTCATTCTTGGTTCTAAGCTGAACTTTTTGAGAAAATGTGGCACCTCTCATCCCCTTACCCTCACAGACCCTATAATTTTGGCTATATTTTTATGTTTTTCAGATTCAAGTCAATCTGAAAGTCCCAGCCAGCCAAGTGATGCTGACATTAAGGACCAGCCAGAAAATGGTAAGTTTAGCATGGGACTCTGGCTGCTGCATCCTAATCCATAGGAGTCAGCAGCCAAAGCTGCAGGAGGACTTTGGGGCCTGCCCAGGGCATCCACAGCAGGAACAGCTCTGAGAACTCAAAGAGAAAGCTCCAGGAGGCAAACATTTTGTCCCCTGGATCATCCTAGCAGCCTCAGTTTCCATCCCAAGCCCTCTTACCAGCATCTTCACAAAGAGGTTAATTCCCTAGAAATTTGAGTGGTGGCCTGGATTGGCCAAGTCATGGTCTTGGACAGCATAACTGAAGAACCTGGGTGAAGTCAGTGGGTCATAGTTCCCTTTAAAGCAGCAGATGCCCAGAGATCTCCACTGAAGGTCATGCAAGGACAAGTAGTTTTCAAGATTTTTTTTTTTTTTTTAGGATCTTAAACCTTTGCAGATTGCTTTAAGAAAGCATCGCTACCTTTGAAGCAATTTTCCCCCTTTAAATTGTTTAAAATAAAATAGTGAGGATACCAGAGAACATGAAATCCCTTAGTTTTATAGATAGGTGAATTTTTATCATTCTTTCCTCCTCCTCTTTCCCTCGCCCTGTCTGCAGTACTGGGCATTGAACCCAAGGCCACCTGCACGCTTGGCAAGTACTGCTTCACTGAGCCACACCCCTAGCTCCTATGTAAATGTACTGTTTTACAGAAACTTTTCTAAGATGGAAAGCACACGTTATATGTAGCAATATCTTGTAAAATATTCTAGACTTGTATTATGCATTCCAAGTATCAAAAAAAAAGTCATGTCATGGTTTGTAATATTAGATTGAACAAAAGCAATCATTTCAGTAAAAACAGAGAAGTGAAATAGCAGGCTCTCTCACAGGCTAAACATTGTATAGACATTGTATAAAGTCACCAAATATATATCTAGCTCTGTAATACTGAATAGGTTATTTAACCTCTCAAGCTACTGGTTTATTTATTTCAGGTAGGATAGTATTGCCCTAGGGAAAATTAAATAAGGTAGTGTGCTTAACATACTTACTACAGTATCTTTCATGGACTTTATACTAAATAGAAATGCTAACAACAATTCAGCATTTTTCTTGCCCATATAATATTATCATTCTTTGTTTTTCATGTCTGTTGCATGACTGAGAATTTCTCTCCCCTTCCTCCTCCTCCTCCAATCCCCTCATCCTCTACTCTCCACTTTTCCTCCTCCTCCTTGATTTTTTTGTTCTTCATTTTCCAATTTTGGTCTCCATCTCGTCTAGAAAAGCTCGGTGACTAAGTTATTTGGTATTGTGTAATGGACGACTCACCTCACTACATTAAATATCTTATACTAATTTTTCAAGAAACATTTTCATTTTGGGAACCTGGGGAACTCTCTGTTAAATTGCTCAACTATAGCCTTAAACATGAACTGATTATTCCTTTCCTCATTCTGATATTTAGTAAAATTTTCTTTATCAAAATTCTCTTTTCTTAAAGAGGTAATTATGAAAAAATGGAAGAGACCGCTAAAAGTTTGCTTTTAGTGTCACGAACAGCTACATATTTTCTGTTAGCAATCTAAATAGCCATGTTTATAGTGGCTTGACTTGTGGGTGATGCCCTAAATGTTCCAATTTTATATACTATATTTGTGTATAATCTCCCTGAAGATGTGTTCAGAGATACTCATTTTCATCTAAAAAATTTGGTAAGCTATAGGGGTGTGCAGTTCACATATTTAGGTCTGGCTACCCCTCCAGCAGGCCTGTGATTCATCTGTCTTCATAAAATGGCCGGCAAGCTGTTCACATGCAAATATAAACTGAGAGAAGAGAGGCCTGGCACGCCTTTCTGGAGCTGCCTGCAAAATGATATTGTGCACTTCATTCCAAAAAGCATCCCAGGACTGAGGCTGATCTTTCGGCCAAAGGCATGGTGATACCAGCCAAGTTCACATTTAACCCACGATGACTTGGTGCTGCCTCAAGGATTCATGATACCCTTTTTCAGGACTTGGTGTGAGTTTACAGAAAGAATTTGTATCAAATAGCTGGAGTAACAAATCCCTACCTTTCAAGTGTCTGTATTTCAGAAGGAAATGAAGACTACTCTGTGTTATTCCTCCCTCTGCCCTTTGTCAACCTCACATATAGTCATTGGAGGAAAAGTACCTTACTTGTTTCCTTAAAGACACAGAATTCCTAACAGAAATAAATGAAAGTTTTAGGCAAGATGTTTGCATGTGCTAGGTAACCTTCTTTATCAAGTGAATGTTCTCATCATTCTCCCGACATACTGACATGAGTTTCTGAAGGATATCTCTCTTAGCTTTGAGAGACTCATAGGTGTGTCAGCAAAGCTCTGTGAAGTTTTGGAACCTTGCTATGCAGAGGCTTGACAAAAACTGTTGTTCAAATGAAGTGGAAATGCATTGTTCCTTCCATATAAATGCATATATGCAAGGGAAAATAATCTTTTTATCCTGGCTCTTGAGAAAGGTAATGGGAAACGAATGGTATTTCCCTAGTAAACCATGGAGAATGAACAGACCAACGGTAACATGCTGTTTCGTCCAAGACCATAAACTGGGCCATGTAACTTTACCTAAACTGGATGCAGCTGTTTCTTCTCTCTCCAACTAATCTGTTTTGTTCTGTGGAATTTTTGCTTGCTTTCCTTGTGTTCCCTTAAGACACAAATCTTTGTCCAATTAGAATATTAGATGGAAATTTTTAAGGAATTATCTAGAGTCCAGAGATAAAATACCAGCATTTCTGAAACTCAAAATTGGTATAATCTAATAGTTAAAACTGCCTCTGGAGCCACAGACCTGTGTTCAAGTTAAATAGTAGCCAGGTGAGTGAATGAGTTTTTGCCCTAATTTCAATTTTCCTGTAAGTTAGAAATGCTGAAAGAACCTACCTATGAGCATTGAAATAAGAACATGTATAGAAATATCAAAATGCCTGGTTCATAGTAAGGACCCAAGGTAAAGACCTGATATCACTTCAGGTAAGGCTTGTCCTAAACACAAGACACTATTTAAGATGGAGTCCTTGGGTAGAAGTGAAGGTGTCACAAATAAAGTGAGACTCCTAGGGACATCTTTGTAGATACATGCTTTGTTCGGAGATGTTTGGCATAAAGTTTCTTCCTAAATCCCACAATCCCACAGTGAACATCTATTTCACTGTTTAGTTCTGTCCTCATCCTGTTTATCTTCCATGAGCTTAAGGATGAGTGAGCTGCAGAATCGACTGAGAGTTGCTACAACCTTCAGATGTGTGCTCAGAAGAAAGATGCCCTAGAGAGAAGGGACTGAGTCTAGACTTTTTAAATGTTAGCTGAGTTTTTCTGAGAAACAAGCCAAGTAGAATCTGGATTATTAAAAAGTATACATTGGGCTGGGGATGAAACTCAGTAGTAGAGCACTTGTGTAGGTAGCATGTATGAGGTCCTGTGTAAGAAACAGAATAAAGGAAAGAGGGAAAAAGAAATAAACCAAAATGAACAGAAAGAACTCCCTCAAAACAAACACATATAAACTGATTAAGGGAGAATTCATAAGAAATTTCTTTTTAAAAAGTCTTGCACAGCACCTAGCTCTTTGCTTTAAACTTATGGAGCGCTGATGCTTTTTTGCTTAATGAATAAAATAGTAAATTGATCTGTTATCCATTACCTCATATATTTCTTGAGCATATTCTCACTGCTAAGTTTCCAAAAGGTTTTTGAGAAGGGGAACATTCTCTGGAGAAGGTGGTAAATGTTGAATTTGTGTGTGAGAAAAGGCCATTTACAGACACATGGGCATAAGTACACAGATGTGACTAGTAGCTGGAAGGCAAAGTGAGGGCGCGGTAGGTCAAGCTTTGCTTCCCCAAAGCATGTGTAGTCAGCATAGCACAGGATTGATTTCAGTGGGGAATGCATTCGGATGAAATTCCCGGCTACGATGGAAACTATTCATTTAATCTTTATGCATATTGCCAGAACCCCTTCTCTAGATTTTCAAGAACCTCATTTCAATTTAGAACATCTACTCACCTACCTGTGTGAATTCCCACAATGTCCTTCAGTTACTGTTAAGAATATTTGTGGAACAGAGCATTTGGAGTACCTGCTCCATATTTGCAGGACCTGGGAGCAGCCCTTCAAAGCTTGTCTTCTGCGGTGCATCAAGTCAGTCATTGATGAGGGTAAAGCTCATGAGATAGCCTTCCTACTTAATTCAAAGTATGCTTCAGTAAGACCACAGTGAATCAGGGTCTGAATAACAAGACCGGCCAGCATAAACCAACACCAGCACTCTGAAAATGTGCTCCCCACTGGTTATTAGCATCAGTGAGAGTACCCTTAACTGAAAATGGGAAGGAGGCAAAATTCCCTTTCAGAAGAGGAAACACTATGTCCACATTGTGTTTTTCTTTTCTTATTTACAATCTCATCACCCGCACAGCCAATCAATAATAACCTTATCTTAATGGTATTTAAGTTTTGTTATTGATAGTAAGGATCCAAGATGGTATTGAGATCCTTTTTCTGGGTTTCCTTGTGCTGCTTCTCATTGTCCAGTAGCTACACCTATGATGGCGTGTCGACCCTCGGAGGGGCCTGTGCAATTAAAAGAGAGCTACTTAATGATGGCTTGCCCCAGAGTTTGAAATTGCATGGTTCTACCTGCCAGTTTGAGTACTGGTGGCTCTTTTATGTTCACCATTTTTATTTATTCCCTTCCCATCATGGATTGTTAAACTCAACATCGTTGTTAAATGTTTCTAGATGAACAATGGACTGCTTTTTACCATAATTGTTAATATCTTATTAGTTACCATTTTAACTCATTTCTGTGTATAATTTAAATTTTTAATGTACAAAAGCCTTGTAAGGATACTGACTTCCTAACTTGAGATTTATATGAAGGATTAATTTGTAAGTTGGGGTCAGGGGTGAAATAGGAAAACTATGTCTTCCCTGTAACCCGGCTTCTGTGTAGACTAGGCTGGCTTCCATCTCATAGAGATCC